TGCACAAGGCTATGGAACAGATTAGTACCAATCAAAGTGAGTTGTTTTGGTTGGCGCCTCCTTCTCAATGGCCTCCCAACAAAATATGGTCTTTTGAAGAGGGGTGTCAAGGTGGAAGAAGCAGAAACGATCTGTTGCATATGCAGAAGGGACCTCGAGGATGAAAATCACCTATTCGCTCAATGCCCAAAGATACAGAGCCTATGGATGAAATGCTACAACTGGTGGGGGATTTCTTTATCCCTGCCCAACTCCATTCCCCTTCTTTGTGAAGCCCACAGCTTTGGGATCAAAAAGGTGGTAAAATCTGATGTTTGGTTTCTCATTTTCTTGGTGATCACTTGGTCCATATGGTATATGAGAAACTCTATCATTCATAACGCACAACAGTGGGATGAGGGTAAGGCTTTTGATTTAATTCAAAGGAGGACTTTTGCATGGATAAGGGGGAAGACTAAAAATTCCATGTTCTCTTTTTTTCACTGGTGTAATTCCCCTAGTCTATGTGTTCAAGAAATTACTAGAAGTTAGTTTTGTTTAGGCACTAAGACTTTCCTTCTTGATTTGATTTTGAGTGCCTTATCTATTATTATCCTGTAAGGCGTTTTGTGACTATGGGTGGAGTACCCCTTGTACTCCGTATGATAATACATACTTTGATTCATCAAAAAAAGAATTTTGCTAATTTATAAATAAGTTCTTGGTTATTAGTGCCTCTCTCTTACACCAATTTTAAAGTCATTTTACCCTAACATTAGTTCAGGTTTTTGAGATTAGTATAAATAGTAATGTAATGAATTTCATCAATTTGGTTTCTTTGCATTTATATTTTATGCAGTCTTATAATTTATTTCTATATTTGTAAAAGCGTCCTTTCGTGGACAACATTCAAACAAGAAGAAAAAGAACATGGCTTCGTTTGTTAATAAGTGACCGTCAAATGCTAATATTAACCGAAGTCCACGGAATTCACCCAAAAAAAAAAAAAAATCAAAGTCCATGGAAAACTAGGGTTAAGCATCGGGTATGGGTATATTTGATATTTGTAGGTACTTGACCTATTTGGATATGTATTTTAACTGTACATGTGAAGAGGTGGGTCAATACTGGATATGAAAAATGCATACTTGCTAAGTATCGGGTAAGTATTGGGTATGAAAGTCAATACCTGCATGCCTAACCTGTATACCTGACCTATATACCTGATCTATATATTTGACTTTTTATATGGTTAATTTGTAATATAATGTTATGAAATTAAAATGTTTATTTTTTTCTTTTCTTCTGTCAATGAAGATTTAACTGAATAAAAATTATATGGATTTTTGTTTGTATTTCTTTTGTTATTGTATATATAAACTTATGTATATGTGAGTGTATGTACTTAAGTATTTTGTTTTCTATATAAATTTATATTATATATATGAACTTGTAATTGTATATTAATTTACGTATTTTTACTATAAAATTTTTATGAATATACATATATCCAATAAATTAAATAATAAATATAAAATTTTAATATCCAAATAAATACTGAATATTAAAATCTTGTGCTTATCAATGTTCAAACCAAAGATAGACAATACCTACACCCACGTCTACCCATGCTCACCTCCATTGAAAACCCCACGTCCCCACTCCCCACTCCCCACGTCAAATGACCCAGAAGCACGCCAAATGATGACTTTGAAAATCCACTTCAAATGAACCAGACCCACCCCAAAATCAAGTCCACAAAACCGCACGTTAAATGTTGACTTTGAAGACCCACGCCAAATTTCAAAACCAATAGTAATACTCCAAGGTCATGGGAGGGCCACGTCACATGTCCCACCAAACAAGACCCAATTCACATTCTAATACTCTAATCAATGTCTCCTCTGGGTAATATAAGAGGATGTGTTTTGCTGTATTAGATCAGTATGATGTGCATGGACATGAGTATCTGTTGTATGCTAATTTAATAAACCTTTTTTTGATTGATAAGAAAAAGATTAATGTTTATAGTTCGTCATATGAATAAGTAATCCATTATATACCATTATAATTGATGAGATTAATGTTTATCAGTTAAATTTGTAAAAAAAATTGATAAAAAACACTTAAAATTATATTATTTTAATAAAAATAACAAAAAAAGATTAAAATAACTTCATTTATGTTTCAAAAATTAAAATATTTTATTTTTTAATGATAATCAATTAAAACTAAATAATTTTAAAATATTTATTTACCTAAAATTTTACAAGTACCATTGATAAATATTTTTTCCTTAATTGATTATGTAACTTAGTAGCATCAATTTAAAGTTTTTTTTTTTTTTTTTAAGAAAAAGAATTCAGACAAGATAAACGATTATGTTGCAAAGTAATTGCAAAAACACTTTGGTCTCAATTGCCATTTTTTATCTGTTCCACGTGTACATTTTACAAAGCAAACTTTCCCCAAATTTTTAATACGAGCAAGGGATACCAAACAGCTCCTTAGGCTGTGTTTGACAAAGAAAAAATCAAATGAACCCAAATTCCAAAACCAAATTACTAATTCAAGTTGACGGAAGCCACCACGTCAAATGATCCAGATGGAAGAGCTACGTCAAATTTCAATACTAATAGTAGAACTAATGCAAGTTCATAGAAGATCCATGTCCCAAGTCCCACCACAGAATACCCAATTCACATTCCAGTTCTAACAATAACCAATAAATATTGAATGATCTTTCTAAAACCATATAAAAAATACACTGAGCCTGTAACCACATCGATTTACTTGTAATGTTTATTTGTCGACAATAAACTTACAATAAATTTTATGACAATGCGTGAAGTAATTTTAGTAACATTTATTTTGGGAACGTACCTTAGTAACATTATTAGAATGTGTACAATGGTGTCAACAACTTAAATATATTAATGATAATTTTTTTATCTTGAAAATAAAAAATTTTAAATTTGAATCATGTAGTGTATTGGTGAATAGAATTAAAGAATAAAAAATATTATTCTCATTATATGATTTAAAATAAATAAATAAATAAATAAATAAATAAAATATATATATACATAGATAAGTACATAGAACGATGTTCTTTTTAATTGTTACTTTTTTAAAAGAGAACAAAAACAAAATTCTTTTCCACTAGAAGTGAGTTCTCAAGTACAGCTCAAAGAACAACCTTTCTTTTAATTTTTTAACC